TGATGCTGCGTACTGTCAACGCAGTTCAGCTGTCCGACGTCTTATTCAAGTGCGTTGCGCTCTCGAGATCTGTAATCTGCCAATTCGGCGTCCAGGAATTTCTTCAATTTCGACACCAATTTCGCGTCGATTAATGTCTCGGCAAGCTGTTCCAATATTTCATCACTCGAAGCATGGAGGGAGCTTTCTGCTTCGGTTCCCATACCACAAGCTTGCACCGGTGCCCGGGAGTGCTGCTTGGTGCGTGGACGTGCAGCAATGGCCTCAGCATTGGGATGTCATCCAGGTGTAATATCCGGTACATCATTACGAGGTCCACTCAAAGCCGACAGTCTTAGTCTCCTGCATCCGTCTTCGTACGCCATACCCCCTAAGCTGAGAATGAGCGTGTTCGCCACATGCTGAACACATTCCAGTTATCGCACCTTACCAGGGTTTATCGGACAGTAGGCAGGTGAGCCCTCATCGAGCATTCGTCTTAGTACTCAAATGATGCAATGTGCTCAAGCAACATTGAATGTATCTGACCGCTTTGATTGACACTTCCGAGATTTTAAAAGGAAAATTGTGGATGGCAAATGCGTAGGTGATGCAAAGTATGATTCACTCAACCACTAAGTTAACAACTTGTTGTGGCCTATGTATCACGAACTGCCGACCTACAAAACCCAAATCTTCGGCCCAGAACAGAAGTTGAAAGACGACAACCAGGAATAATCTCTTGCGAGAAGACAAAACGAGATACATAGGCGACCATTTTCTTAGTTTATTAAGTCCTCCTGCACAATGGCCTTGAAACTGTCATTGGTTACATCTAGGTCCTGACCATGAGACAAGCGAGTCATCTTCGAGCCAAATAGCTGGAAGCTGCATCCGACCGATCTCGTTAGGTTCTGTGTCCCATAAAATCTCCCCCTTTTGAATGAATCGCATAAATTTGTAGCTTGGCGTTCACCTGCATCACAAGCACTGACTTCGGGTGTCGATCCATCCATCTTCTTGTGCTAACTCCGGTAAAGGTGTAGGAATTGGAGTCTCCAGTTCCGGTTTGAGGTCTTCTAGACTGACACGAAACGAGTCAAGGAGAAAGTTTAACGGCAACATACTACGCGTTGGTGAGGCATTGGGAAAGTAACGGGATCGTAACTGTTTGGTGTATCGGACTCAAACCTCAGAACTAACAGTAACGTCATACGTGACACTTCCAGTTCAACGAATAATACGTCCTAGAGTCCAGGTAACCTGGTTGTTGCGGTAGTCCTTTGCCAGCACAGGTTGCCCTTTGAAGAAAGCTCGGTTCTGAGCACTGTATCTCCCGTTTCATTTTACAATTTCGGTTCAAGCTTTTCCTGTAGGCAAAATGAAAGGTTTTAAGGATCTCGCCCGTCGGTCCCTCCAACTTCGCCATCAGTTATGCTCTGTTGAAGGTGTCCAAAAGTCGCTCTGATAGGTCGTGGCTGTGGATGGTATGGAGGTGACCTCGTGTGGATTATGCTGTTTTTGTTGCAGAAGTCCTCGAAAGTCACTGAATTGAACTGAGTTCCGTTGTCAGTCACTAATGTGTCCGGATACCCGAAGTGACTGAAAACCTGACAAACTGCAGTAATGGTCAATTACGCAGTAGTCGATGACCTGGCCACTACAACCAGGATAAGGAAATTGTTTACATTAATAGGTCCAGTATGATCGGCATAGAGCCTCGATCATAGTTTCCCAGAATCCGGCCAACTGTGGGGCTTTGCTTTTCGTGGCAACTTCGAAACAAGTGTGCATTTGGAGCACGAGCGGGCAAGCTCTTCGACTTAAGCATCTGGATGAGGCCAGTACACATAGCTTTTGGCCAATGCCTTCATACGGTTTATTCCCGGGTGTTCGGTGTGGAACTGCCTCAGAACTCTCGGCTGAAGTTCCGTGAGAACCAGTACTTGCACTGCAGAGTAGACATCCGTCGACAATTGACAGGGAGTTGTGACACTGACGAAATAGCTTAAGTTCGCTGTCTTCAATCTTCTGTGCCCCTTCTGATCTGTGAAACCGAATCACTTGTTAGAGCAGAGGATCATGCGAAGGTGCGACACGTATTTGAGAAGCTGTTACTGGGATGGCTTTAATAGATACGACAACGCAATGAACTTCAGGCTCGATCGAGGTGCTTGCCACCACAACATCCTCCAGCTCTTTCCCATCTTCGTCCATGAGGCGTGATAAAGCATCTGCCTGACCAATGTTCCCAGTCGATTGGCACTTGATTTCCAAATCATATCCCTAAACCATTGCGGCCCACCTATGAAAGCGATTTGCTGAGTACACGGGAATGCCCTTCTTGGACCCGAAGATAGCAAGTAGGGCTTTTGATCCGTGACCCGAGTAAAATGACGGCCATAAGGCATTTTGTGAAATTAATTAATGGCGTAGATTATCGCCAGTGCCTCTTTTTCAATTTGGCTGTAGTTGCGTTCTGCGGACGTCAACAATCGCGCAGCATGAGAAGTTGCCTTCTTAGTTCCGTTAGGAAAGCGGTGAGATACAGCAGAACTGACTCCGTAATTAGGCGCATCTGTAGCAACAACGATATCCAAGTTCGGATGATAATGAGACAACAGCAGGTCTGACAATAGAATGGTTTTTATCTTGTCAAAAGCATAACTTCATTCCGTACTCCAACACCACTTAGAATCTTGAAGAAGTGATGCGTTCAGTGGACCCTGTATAGCATGCATTGCTGGCAAAAATGCACTGTAGTGACTCCCTAATCCCAAGAATGATTGTAGCGTCGTCACATCATGTGGTGGTGGCGTTTTCTGGATGACCTCAATATTAGCGGTATTTGATGTTCGACCGTGTTGATCAATGACAAATCCCAAGTATTTTACCGCACCCATGTAGAAAACACACTTCTCTTCTTTCAGGCGAAAGCCATAATCTTGGATTCGATAAAGCACCATATCAATCCGGTTCTCAAAATCCGCCGGATCAGTGCCCATGATAATAATATCGTCAATATATGCTGCAACAGATGGGACGTCCTGTAATATGGTGTCGATGAGCTGTTGAAAAACGGCGGGTGCTGTTCTTACTTCGAACGGTAAGCGAGTGTACCGAAAAAGAGCGCGGTGAATATTGATAATCAGCAGCTCTTGTGAATCCTCAGCAACTTCCTGTTGGTGGTATGCATCCGACAAGTCCAGTTTGGCGATACATTTGCCGTCATTAAGCTTCGCGAACAAATCATCCGGCTGGGACAACAGGTATTGGTGACTTTCAAGAGCAGCATTCAGACCAGTGGAGAAGTCTGCACAAATTCGGACTTTCCCATTTGGTTTATTGACTACCAGAATAGGAGCAGTCCATGATGAGTAATGTACAGATTGAAGGATACCAGCCTGTTGCAGTCTCTCCAATTCCTGATCAACGCTTGGTAACGCCGCATACGGTACTGGACGTTTGGGTCGAAAGTCAGGTTTTGCGTCGGGGCGGAGGGACAATACTGCCTTGGTTTTCGTGCAGCAACCAAGCTCATCCCGGAATACTTGAGCGAATTTGTCGCGAACGCTCCGACAGGACATTCCTAGTAAGATTGATCACAGACTGAACACAAAACTGATTGCATATAAGATTAAGTGGGACGTCCAAGAGCCTGAGTTTCACGATCCATTCAAGGCCCAAGAGGTTCAGATTTGGCCGATTAGATAGGTAACACACAGCAGAGAATAACACTTTCTTGAAAAACACAGAACATATAAATTCACCCTTGTGTTTCAGGACTCCAGCGGAAGCATTCAGCGCTGGGAGATTTGTCGGCTTTATAGGAGGTTGACCGATCATCTTTCATAGGCTTGGTGACAAAAAAGTAGTATCAGATGCTGTATCAAGCTGGAAGCGCGCAGGTTGTTGATATGCACAGTCCCCTCTGTACTCCGGTGTTTTGCATCCGTGTCGAACGTAGCCATAACAGGATTTATTTTGTTTGTGGATTTTGTCCAACTTTTCTGAACTGGCTAAATTGTGTTTTCCGAAGTGTTCCATCGTTTTTGCGGCCATGATCCTCTTTGTCTTCGTTAATGACATTTCTGACAGCGGCGCTTTTTGAATGGGCACAGTCGGACATAATGCCAACCACCACCTTGCCAGCAGGTTGTTGGGGGCTTGTTGAAGGTGCCGATTCTAGAGGAATTAGTGGGCTTCGCTGGGCTGCTTTTTGCCACAGCATGCACGTTACTGGAGCCAGGGACTGCTTCTCGTCCGACCATGGTAGTATCGTGTTTCGGTTTCAACAAACGGTGGCACTCTGATAACACTGATCGCAGATTCATGATAGGATCCTGCTCCATCTTACCGAGCAAGCGCGTGCGAATATCTAAGTCTCGAGGCAATTGAAGACCACAAACAAATACCAGACACTTGAATTGGCTTGAAACTCTCACCCTGTTGATAAACCGTGGACTTATAAGACATAAATCATCACAGTCACTTTTGACAAGTTTCAAACAGGAATACTGCACGTTAAAAATAGAGGACGCTCCCCGAAAGATTTCTTTCAACAGTTCCAGATTGGCAGGTTGGACTGTCTGGATTGTGAGCAGCTCCTGGGACAAATCAGCAATATTTCATCAAAAAATTACTAATAAATGCTTCTAATTTGTTGCTTTTGAAGTTTATCATGGTAGACTACCGGCCGACCGATTAGTGGCCATGTGCCTCACGCGCCTGGCTTGTAACACAGCTAGTTAGTTCGAGCCGCCTGCTATAGTTGCCGGCGACCCCTAACCCGCACGCGGCTGCTGTTGGTCACGTGGCCGCAGGTCCTCACTTTGATGTACCGATGTGCCTAGGAACCAGTGAACACGCGAACTAACTCTCACCGTTCCGTTGTTACTTCAGCGATTTGCGGTATTTAACACTGCCTTCTATCATTGGACACAAACTTTCCTTCCGTTTACTACCTTGCTGCTTTGTTTTCTTGATCTCTTTATTATGCTTCCGTACCACTGTCTTTTTAGGATGGAATTGGCAAGTTTAAAACAGTTCTTGCGAGAAGCAGAAGCTATGAAGGCCACTGCGACTCAACTGCGAGCGGAGATGGAAGACATGGAAAACGTTAAAAAGTTAATTGCTTGTAAGTTGTTTCGTCCACCCCCATTATTTTACTCTTTTACACGTCTCGCTGTGCTTAGTACCATGGTGTTATCTCATTTTGGCGTCTTTTGTGCCCACACTTGTGTGGCTTCATTGCGTCCATCACCAATACAGTGTAATGGATCCTTCTTTCGGCTTGTTATTTAAGTTTGTCGTAACCGTGATCTGAGTGCCCAGTTATACAGGATCCAGTCATCATAACGCCCATCACCGTGGTAATCAAGGAAAATCTAACCGGGCAAAGAAAACCAAAGGCGTAAATAGCGCAACAACAAAAAATTCCACACAAACCTGGCAAATAACATCATCACATGAAGATGTGACACGCAAGAAACAAGAGAACGTAGAGTAGAACCTCACTGCCCTCTTGAATCAGCTGTGCCACGTGAGGATTCTAACCACCAACGATTCCGATCCCCAATCTAAGTGACTGATCGTAATATTGCAAAACCCCCATCTTCCACTGATAGACACTTTATTGCCATGTAGATGACACATCTGGTGCCATAAGCAGCGTCTACCATACGTGGTGAATGCGTACCAGGTCGGAGGTGGAAATCACACTTGGGCTGATTTCTGTCTGATAGAATAGAGTTGTACTATCCTTTCAGCTCAGCGAATTAGTGGCATCGTGATAACTTGCGTGGATGCATACCCGAGTAGTAATGAGCCGTGTTGGCACGGAAATCGTCTCTCCGAAATTAGGTCACATAAGACGAAACAGGCTGAAGGGAGCACAACCTCATTGGGTGTGTTCTGCAAATTAAGCAAACCGTTGCTTTTGGTGATCACGATCGTAAGTCCGGCTGGAAGCCACCGCATTAAGTTTGAGGCAGAAGGAAAGCGCTCGAGTCGCTCATCATTATCAACAGCAGCAACCTCTCAGTATGTTGACCGCATTTTCCGCAACCGTACTCACTTTGGAAATGAAAAATAGTAGAAAGCAAAGAAGGGGAAACTTGTGTAAAGCTTAAATACCCAGAGCAAACATTCAAGACCAAGTCGCCTGCACATCATCAAGGCACACGACCACAGACGGCTGGCTATGGTGCGAAGATAAGGCGTTATCAGCGACACAGCTTCCTTGCGGCTTTCACAGTCCCGCATCATAATCGATTTTACTTCACAGATAACTCATCACCATACACAATGCAAATACGCCGTCCGGCTAGAAGATGACAACAAATGCGCATCGGGTGCCGGCTGTGAGCCATGTTCTGTTAGGTCTCGATCTAACCATTAGGTGGGTCGCGTGGGTTCCATCCTAGCAGGCTAGTCGAACCAACGTCACTTGGCTCACTTGTTAGCGATTTTATTTTACCGTCTCCAGGCTAACTTTTGCCCCCCCCCCTTGGCCCTTGTGCATTCCTACTTTTGGAAAACAACCTAACTTTCATCCGTAGGCTGCAGGTGGGCACACGTAACGCATTTTGCTCTAAGAATCCAACTCGATCATTGTTGCTTGCCTACTGCTGCGCACATCGTCCTTCTGGGCACACTGGTGCCAACTTACACGAGAAATGCTCGGCAAACGACGATGTCCAAAGAATTGAATGCACCTCAAGTCGAAAAGTCTGTCTCACTTCCAGAGGCAAGAATAGTCCCCACTGTGGTTCTACAAACACTGTATTCCAGTCCAACAAAAATCCTCTTCCTTTGCGACAGATGCTCCTAAATCAAAGGTGTAATTTTAGCTTTCTCAACACGTGATCTTATAGCACTTTTAATTAGTAGTTCATATGCTTACAGCAAATTGTCAAAACAGGGCACTGTCTCGGTAGAATACGAAAACAGCTTTCCAGGTAAGCACTTAGGTAGAGTATTGTGTCGGAGCCCCACGACTGCTTCCGCCCACCAGCGCTAGTGTGAACACGAACGGCAATCTGCGCACAATACAATGTTGCGAGCCGAACTGGCAGGCTAGCGTCCGTGCGTACGAATCAGCTGAATACCTCAAATCAGGGAATATACACAGTTTATGCAGAAAGGCTGACATTCGGTCAATCAAGGCTGGTCAGTTCAAGGACGAAGCATCGATAAGGGGCCTCACGAACGAGCGAAATACACAGAGTAAGTGAAAAGCTACTAAGCACAGCATTCAGTGTCAATATAAGCTGATCACAAATGTGGGGCAAACAGAAACACGTGTGTGGGGAACCGTAAGAGTGGACGGGATGAATAGGGGTGAGTGCGGCAAACTCATGAAACAACGGGAAATAGTGGAGTTTTCTTGTCCACGCTACACCATAGACCGAACGGAACCGTACCGCAAGTTAGTTAATGTTTGTTGTGTGAATATTGTGGCAAATAGGCCCGGCGCATACCAGTAATGTTCATTTAGAGTCCCGCGAGTAGTTTGAACGCATAGATCCGAAGTGTCGAAACGTTACGGATCCATGGACGCGAGATGTCTTACAGCAACCGGACAAATACGTCCGCGATTACTTAAGGTCACGAGATGGTGACTAATAGCAGACTCTGAAGACGTGAGCGCACACAATGCAAACTTACCCCTTTACGCGTGTGGACGTCATATTTTGCAGTTTCAGTTTGCGGGTTTGTCTAAAAAGTCGATTTTTCCAGACCAAAATTTTACTCAGCAAAGGCAATCAGGGAAAATTACAGCGCGTTCGACCCACAGAACGCGCACTTCCATAGATAATGACGTTTTCGTGCTGTTGAGTTTTCTTTATCAGCTGAGTTAGACGAAAGACGTGGAACACATCGTAACGTACACGAATTCCGACCAATCAACCGAGCCTTGTATAACTAAAAATACGCCTGCTACTTTCAGTGATCGAATCCGTCAGGCTCGTCTCCAATTGGCTATATGGCTCGTTTCTTGTATCCATATGTTCACTCTGCTAGGACACCCATCACATGGCTCATTCCATGCGATCAGCGTCATAGATGGCAACGTTAATGGCATACGTGACTTGATAACGGAGATTACACTGGGCTCTGGTACAATCTGTCTACCCTGGCGTCAAATTATAATCACGATTTGTTTCGTGACATCATTGCACCTTTTACAGCGACTATCGTGCATGACTTTACTTGATTAAAGGATATGTGGATAATCCTCTAATTATATGCTCCACAACAATTGAGAAGTGATGCTCAACGAAGTGGTCTACCTCTTTTGCGTGTCTTTAAAGGCGCACTCCTCCGCAACTGAATCCACCGTATGAGTAACTGCTGAAACCCTTGGCCGGTTGTCGAAGCCAGTGGCTAGCTGGAGGTCTAATTGGAACAATGGAACAATTGTTTTTATTCGGGTAAAAAAGCTAAAGCTTAACGGGTCCCGTAGGATAGTCATGATGAATATGGAAAAATTGCTAGCAAAAATGTGCACACCAGTGGACTTACCGAAGTATGGTTCTCAAAAGCTGTACATCGGTTGTAAGTCCATAATTAGTGACGTCAAAGGGAATGTCCGTGAATGTTGTGCTGCCTCCTTATGCACACATAGTGGAGGTGCAAAAGCTGTAACATATTCTGGGAGTTGACGGGCAATGCAATCTCTAACAGACACTCGTGTTTAACCGTGGACAATGAGTCATGTGAGATGGTGCAGCGAAGCGAGTGCACGGTCAACTCGGCCTTTGAACTCTGCCATCCTGGACGCACAGACGACATATTCCGGTAGCGCATTCCACTCTGCAAACGTGTACGGAAGAGAAATTCTGACGGCATTCCATATGACTGTACTGCCCTGTCACCTGGAGAAGGTGGCCTCTCAAATTGCTGCGGTGACTGAGTTCTAGCAAATAGCGGTACATGTGGTTGAATTCTCACCAAATTATAACATCCAGGATCGAGAACCCATCCACTAACGGTTCAGAAAACCGCTGTCTACATTTACGTTTCAAAAATGCTATCAACGACAGGTTAAACACGTACAGAGCCCGGAGAGGTAGCCGCGCGATGAATAAAGACAGCGTATGGATCGAGGACAAACCCATTTGTTATCGGACGGGAGTTAGGCAGAATGTACTTCTAGCCAAACTTCCGAAAAAGAAATATCTTTTTGATTCATGGTATGCCGGAACAAAAGCCGTTGATGTGAGCGTACAAGCAGCATCTGAAGATCCTCTGGCTAGTCGTAGCCATTTGTATATGTAGACTCGAGCTAGATGAGTGTTAGCTGGGGCTCACTCGTAACAGCACATTCCGGAATCGGTTTTTTGCTTGTCTGTAGCCTGCACTTGTGGACAGCATAACTCAGCGTTTCGGCTTTATTTGTTCTTATCAAGTAGATATAACATGCATCGAGTGCACTGTTTTCGGGCCGTCAAAGCCCGCTTCACATCTGCTTTAACTACGGTTCTAGGGGTCGAATGACCGTTTCACTTCAATGGAAATCGCGGACAATATTGAGTTTGCACGTCGCAATCCATTCACACAAAGTATGCTTCAAAATGACCCTTCCTTTTGTCATTAACCGTTGTGCCAAGCGTTGCCCGTCGTTACCCGGTGGCTCCGGTATAGCGGTCAAAATTAACATCCCAATGGTTGCGAGACTTGGCCTGCTCGCGCGAAGGACGTTCAGGGGCTGCTGCCTTTGATAATCGCTGCTCCGGAGCATTGCTGGTGTACGGTGGCAACACCACATTAGTAATGAGGATGTTCCCCGAAGAATTTTCAAATCAGACGGACTTTGCCGGCCGCTGGGCCGTATAATTTCACTGCATAGGCTTCGGTGGCTTCGTATGCTTACTGAGCGTTTGCCTCACCGTGCACTCTGCATGCACAGAAGTCGGCTGGAAGCGAGAACAAGGTGGCCAGCGAATGACTTAGGCCAAAAATATGAAGGCGTTGACTTCACCTTTGGCCGCGGTCGGGCGCTCTCGACTCGCCGGTTGGTGGCGCAAGGACCATGAACACCGTTGACTGGAAACCCTATCGGACATTACATGAAACTGTGAGCAATGGTGAACATGTTGTGAGACTCTATCCCCATGACACCAGTTTTATATTCTACCCTCTCTTTTTACTTATTATTCTGTTATAAAGTTTGTCCATATCTTGCGGCATTTTCCAGCTGTACTGTTGGCTGTGTTCAATATATATATATATATATATATATATATATATATATATACTGCATTGTATTTTGTGCGCCGTGCCTTAAATCACGCGGGATATCCATTCTCTTTTGTTGTCGAGGGGGTCCGTTTCAGTTCACGCTCGATTGTATCCGAAGAGCGAGGGTGCAAAGGGCTGGTACAAAGCGAAAATGCTAGATCTGGCTAATCAATTCTGTGCCAGTGAAACGGAGAAGTGTAGAATGCTAACAAAGTGGTATTGGGAATCTTTAACGCAAATGCGGCGACATAGAAATCTGGTAATACTGAGACCCGACAAGGGATCAGGAGTAGTAATTTAGGAAAAGCAACACTATATTTAGAAAATCCAAACAATTCTTGCGGATTCTAACTGCTTGCATTTCTTGGTTTGACAAACCGAAACAAAACCAAGCAGATGGAGTAGTTAATAGTCCGTGAATTGAAGAAGCTAGTGAAGGCCGAATTGATGGATGCTCTCAAGGATCAAGATTACCTCAAATGTATGGTTTACCGAAAACTAATAAGGAGGGTATCCCACTACGTCCAATCGTCTCCATGGTAGACGCATTATACCAAAAGTTGGCGCAATGGCTAGCGAACGATATCGAGCCCATACGGAGGGAACTGACCAGCTACAGCCGAAGAGACACGTTTCAATGTGTTAACAAGATACGTAACTTAAAGATAAATGGAAAGCACACAGTTTGTTTCGATGTATCCTCATTGTTCACGAACGTCTATTTGGAGGAAACGTTAGATATAATAGTCGTACGCGCTAACAAAGTCGTGTTTCCAGCGCTCCAGGTCAAGTCATTACTGCGCATATGTACAAAAGATATTCAGTTCCGGTTCAATGGAACCCTGTATCGACAAATCGACGGCGTGACTATGGGCAGTCCATTGGGCCTAGTTTTGGCTGATATTTTCATGGACCACCTGGAAACACTGTTATCTTCTTACATAGAAAATGTCTACTTTTATCGCCGGTATACAGACGACATATTTATCATCGCTGACACACGTCAACGGGCGGCGTAGTTATTGGAATTGATGAATATGTGCCATCCAGCTATGAAGCTCACAGTGAAAAACGAATCCGATGGATATTTCCATTTCCTACATGTTAACTTACAATGAAAACCAGACGGTATACTCGTTCGATCTGTGTACAGAAAGACAACTTGGACGGGACGATAACATCACTTTAACAGTTTCTGTCCAGTGAACTACAAACGAACTTTAGCAGGTATCCCTTTTGCTGAAGCTCGTCAAAGTTGCTGTTTGGATACATTCGAACGTGAACTGAAATGGGTCACCCGACAGTAAAAGAGAATGGATCTCCCGCGCGATTCATAGCACAGCACGCGAAAATACAATCCAGAGATAAACCACTAACAGATGCCCCGAAGTAAATGGTATTCATTACGCTGCCATTCAAAGGAGACCAAGTTGACACAAGAAGCCGGCATCGCCTCCGTCAATCATTTGAGAAGTGTTATCATATATATATATATATATATATATATATATATATATATATATATATATATATATATATATATATGTCCCATGCTGAGGCTGATGTTGCATTCTTGATCCTTCTTCACCGCAGTTGGGCTAAACCAACTTACACTTAAACTAGGTCTTTTTAAGCTGGCTAAATTTCATTCCACTTTAGTTGGTTTGTTCTGCCTACCTGAATAATGTTCTATTAACTGGCCACGTTGCTTACGGTAATTGCGCTTATCTTCGGTAATTTTGTTGCGTTTGTAGCCTTTTTAGGTAACTGGTGGACATTTCTTACTTATCGCGGATTCGTTGTTAACATACTTACTTGAAATGGTAATTTAGCGCAGGGTTATGCCACCGTATCTGTATGCATTATTGGATTTATTTTATTTCAGCTTGTCGTTTAAAGTGAATGGCTGTTGTTTGATATCCCCGTTGTGGCTGCGCTTGATGTGTATGTTGACAAGGTGCCTACCTGTCTATTACCCACTACCTCGTTCATACTGGCTCCAGGAGACAGTTGGTCGTTGCTGGAGGGTACGGGGTGCACGGTTCTTGTGGCCATGCTAGGCTCAAAGAGCGGTTCCATGCACTCAGTGTGGAGCGGACTACGGTCCAGCCACCGCCTTGTGTGCGGTTGATTCCCCAAATACAGCGTGCTTGTGTTTGCCTGTGAAGGAGTGTGGGCCGGCTCCTTTGATGAAACGTGATTCTCATCCACATGCCTCCCGGTCTTATTCCTTCGGGTTTACACTGGATATGGGGTGTGTGGGAGGAACTATGGGTGGTGCAGCGCAAGCCACCCATTGTCCCTCTGTAGGCGCAGGCGTCCTGTGACTGTCCCCATGGACGTCACAGTGATAGGCAAATCCGGATACGGACGCCGCCAAATCATATATATACATATATATATATATATCCTGTAATCGTAGGTAGTTGAGCGGTTCCATGACTCATCAGTTGACGAGACAGAACCCGGTTGTCTTTGCCAAGTGGATGGGCTGTCTTAGAGAACCGCCGCCCGAGTCTTTGGCAAAATGGCCTACCAAGGGGGTAGCAGAGCGAGATAAGGGCTTCGCTACCGTTAGGGGCCAGTGACTGACCACTCAGTTCAGACGCCTTTTGAATGACGAAATGCCACACCAGGAGCCCTCTCTCGAAGTCAAATGCAGAATCCTCTGCTTGTGTTACTTTGCCGATGTACAATGTCTCCTAGGAAGACAAGGGGTAGTAACTTCGTCTAGTGGCGGGTCACATCCGCCCCCTCTCATTATTGTTAAGCGTACGCTTGTACTTTTTTCTAGGGAGAACGCTTGCCAAACATAAACCCATCACGTCCTGGAGCACTGACGCCCAGCCATTCGCCGGAACAGGAAATACCCGCACCGCCCAGTTGGCACCACTGAGTGGTTCGGCAAGTCAGTCACAATAATAGCCTATCGCGGTAGTACGCTACCTGGTGTCGCTGTGAGAGATGACATATGGGTTCACCTTCAAAACGAACTTTGACGGCGACTCGCAACGGTTTGTGAACAGTCCCAGTCGGCTGTGCAGTTACCGTTGCACGTACCATAGTATACGTTTAGAATCGCAGTGCGACAACCGGCGCCAAACATCTGTCCTCAGCGCCGAATGAAATGCATTCGTCACAAACCAAAACCTCACACATCGACCGGCAACACAAATAGCATGTCCAAACTTGATAGGGGAACTCATGCCCCCACTATATTGCGCAAGCGAAACCGCGTAAAGCTCAGACACTCCAACTCGCCCGCGCACAGGATTCAATCAATTTTCGCACTTACGGGAATTCAACTTCTCCGGCCAGTCTTGGCAATGAGTTCACTATTTCCGATCAGCCTGTACGAATGCAAACATTCATATTTCCGAAAATTTTCGCTTACATTGTGCTAATTCGCTTACTTGCGCCCCGTTTCCTGGTTAAGCTTACGCAGACTTCTATGTGAGAAATCATAAACACCCCCCATCTTGGTATAAAAAATGAAGCCTGATCAACACTGTTCGCTATTTGCTGGGCCAGTCAGTAAAGGAGCCTGCTGTGAAGCGCTTGTTTTTCTTCCTTCTCTGGGTCCTGTAAATGCACGTGTGGTGCGCGTTCGCTTCAGTCGCTCGTTTTAGCTCACACGTAGAAAACCTTTGGCGACTAAGTCTCACGAGTCGAGGGAATCGACTTCTGTCGGCTACTTTTTGGTGCGTGCATAACATCTGCGAATCGATCGTTTGTTTCGATTAGGAGGGTTGTTACAACCAAGCCGTAATGACAGCGACCATTTTAAAGCTGCACGACGGTAGATGCGGAATGCGGTGGATGTTTGAGGAAATCATACTTATACGTGGGATGTGATACTGCTAGGACACCCAAACCTAGACAGCTAAACTATTAGGGTCATCAACCAGCAGTGATATGTTAGCGATCCGGTCACTATGACGAGTCAAATTGAATGATGATGCTGCCCATCGGTGCTGATCAATTATTTCTATATTCAGGTTTGTTCTGTTAACGCCTTGAAAACATGTGTCGAATGTTAAAAATTCCTAATGCAGGTTGAATCATCCATACTTTTCACACCCGCATCTTGGCACTTATTAGCGCCTTTCTAAATACGCTTGGGTCGGTTGCGCAACTTCCCCTCTCTACTATGTTACAAACTGTTTGATCGTGAGTTTCTAGAGTGCGCCATTTGCCACAGTTCGAATACACACATTGACATGGCTTTTTTCCGATCACTCCCCTTGCAGCTTCCGAGGAACCTGCCCGCGAGCTGCTTTCACGGTACACCACTACGAAAGAGTCAACCTCACACGATCTCACTTGTGATTTGACCTCCGTGTGCCGTTGGGCGGCTGTTTTGCGCACCGAACTCACATCTGCTAGAGAGAAGGTGCGGAATTATCGCATTGAACTCTCTCGCGTCAGGAAACTACATCAGACTGCTTCCCAGAGAGCTGCCCGTGCGGAAAAGCGCGCTGCTCAAAAAGAAGCAGATGTGCACCAACTAGAAAATCTACTCTCTACTTTGACGAAACCTTCGAATGCCCTTACCGATCCTCGCGCGGATCTCTCTGAGGCCGACGAGGTGGCCACGCAAGTTTCAACCCTATTGTCTCCATCTTGCGAAGAGTCTTCAACACGCCACTCACCATCCACCCCAGACTTATTGGCTTCTACCTCAACTAACCCCTCTACGGTTGAGCTTCAGGCAAGCAAGCTTTACGAGTTTCATAGTTTTGTCTTCCCCAATATCTTTTTATTGTTTGACCCACTGTGTTCCATCAATCTTCAGAAATTTATGACGATTGTCGTTTCCTCAGCTATAATTCCAATATGTTTTGTAACTTGAATTTTCTTATCAAGCAACCATTCTGCATTTTTGTGATTAAGTCACCCTACACCTCCCATCGCGGTGTTACTGAAACTTAACGTAGTGCGATGGTTTGCGTGCTTTAGCGATTCACTGCACTATGCTTGGTGGTTCTTCTCGCACCTTCGGAGCCACTCATATCAGCTCGGTCAAACTCTGTCTCATGGCTCTCCAGCTTGGGGGTTAGAGTGAAGGTGACTCCTTACTCCTTAAATCGAACTCCCTGTAGCCCACTGTCAAACTCCCGCGGCATTGCCGTCAGGTTTTTGAACCAAAGACTTTAGTTGAGAGCCCTAATCGTTCTTTTGTCTATGCCTGCACTGCCTGACAGTAGCCTGCGTACGCAATACGATGATAACCTCTGTCGTGTAGCCCTCCGACAATCAAAACGAAGTGTGGGCGACGATCAGTTTATGTTATTGGTAAAGCATGGCACCGTTTATACTACACATGACTGGCGGACGATATCTGGTTACTTTTCATTGCTTGTCTCTTCCGCGGTCCGTACGTTGTACTCGCTTTAATCGGTTTCTTCCCCGCCTGCTTCGTTCGCCTTGAGTTCAGTCTACACACATCAATTCTCCTTTGTCTTTCTGCCTAGCGCATACGATTCATACGCCCGCGGCTGTTCCAGCCAATCCGCTTCGTTACTTTTCCTGACTCATCTGTGGTTTCTTCCCTCTAGACTGAACCGATGCTGATTTCCCCGTCCGGTTCTTCCACGCGTGGTCAATTTGCGTTGACAACGGCGGCTTAGCCACTGTCTCACTTACCATCCATTGGTCGGCTTTGCTTAATCAACTCCTACCACACTGACCGTCGCAGAGAACAACAAACGGCGCTCTGTGTTGTATCGAGAGGTGTGGATAGGGATAGGATGCGACGGTTCAGACCTCCCCGTCTTCGTACTCCCCATCTTATGCCTTCTCATACTTGTTCCGTTCCAACATCACTTTTATCCCTTCACGTTTCCAAACCCCAATTTTTAGCCTTCCACCACCGTGCCTCAATAGTCGCTTATCTTCTAGTTTCGACTCTCACACAGTCACTAACCACAGTCAAGTGTCAATCATGCATGTCCGCGGCCGTCACCCATGGCAAAGTGGCACTAGCTGCTGGCATCCGGAAGTCATGGGGGCGGAACCCAGCAGGGGTCCGCTGGAAGGCGCACCACTGACGAGACCGGGGTCTGGTGCTTTTCCAGACTAGCCGAAGCCTGCTGACTGGGTGGACCGTGCTGAACTATCTCTAATCTTACACAATTGCTAAGCGTCATTTCTACCCTGTCGACAAGTCAAGGTTGATAAATTATCCCCATTTGAGTCAAAAGTAAGCAAATGCGCGAAGAATATTCTTTTCGATAATTCTCATCGGGCGTATACAATTTTGAAGCAAAATATTGGAGGGAATAAAGCTCGGAGAGCCTTGTACAGAAAGCAACCAACTCAACTCATTAACTGGACAGTATGGAAACCAAACTAATGGTTTGATCAATCAAGGTTTAACCGAGCCGGCAACGTCGGGTCATTCGCTTCTATTTGGAGCCGTTGATCCTCGCTACGACGCATACCACAACGTACGCACTTTGTTGCAGATCGGTCAAAAGGTAACACTTCCCGAACATTTGAGATCTTATCGATCGATATGTACTGTTTATGTGAAACCCTGCTGCATTACTTCAGCTCTGTGCCCTGTTTGCCATCGCGTTTATGTGACACTAGCACCACTTTCTCATTGCGTCTCTCTGGAGATGGTGGAGCTTTGAATAGCGGTCAAGCCTGCGTTGTCACTGCTCTGAACTCTCGTGCTTGAGCTGCTTTGGTATCCTGGATCCTAGTCCATCTCCTAGTGTGCACTGTGCTGAGTAGCTGGCTTGTTCAAAGCGTTAAAGTCACACGGAATCATTAGATGCCTATACCGACACAAACATTAACGTTGTTTCCGTGAAAGGTAACTTCTTTGGTCAACTGAACGAGCTCTGTCACGGAAAATTGTACGGATATTGTGGAGCTGGCAGTTAATTTGAACGCTCAAGCTCCGTCTGTGCGACTAACACGTTGTGGACTGCTGTAATGAACACAGTGAGCACTTATTCCACTTGTGGAAATATTCGTCTATTTCTCGATAGCATTAACTTTCGACACTGCATTCACAGAAGGGTAAAATGGCGCCTACCAGCCATAAACGTAAGTCGGTCACAACGCGATCAGTTGCCGCTGGAGAGGTTGCGCCCAAAACTGTCGCTCAATTTGGAACACGGGTATGGAATCCGACCACTCACTTGTATGTGTCGATCTTCGGGCGGACTCCGATGATAACGCTTTGAGTGCATAGGTAACTGTCAGGTGGCGAAATAACTCAAGTCAGTTAAAATCGAGGGACTTGTGAATCTTCTACTATAACAATGCATACGCTCTCGGCAATCTATCAAATTAAGAACATTTTGCTAAAACTATGCATGGCATATTGCGAATCGGCTTGTTATTTCTTGAACGACACAGTTGGGGTCAAGCAAGCGACGCAATATACAGGGGATAGCCAACGAGCGGTATCCTCCTATGTGGGTGTATACGAACTTGTACTTCTACTGGTTTTTTACCAGCATGTGTTAGACAAAATTACGTTAACTAAATTAAGTATCGGAACGCCGTTACATCGAGATAAATTCCCTAATATTCTGACGATCATCTTAAACTGCTAGGCCAGAACACCAGGAAGGATCACGGTAGACCATTACGTCCATTGTGGAAGAACATAGGCTTTGATCACACGAAGTATTTTATCACGAGGGACAGGACGATCTCATTCGATAGGCGTATAACAACTACCTTCTGAATTAAAGTGTTTCGGAGCTGCTTCTCAACGTTGCACACCACAACCGACCGGTTTCCTCCTGATATGGACTCATCAGGTGGAGATAGCTTGAGCTGAGGGAAGCCCAACACAGTGGTTGACGGCTTTTCTCTCGGTCATTAGGCCAGAGCTCCACAGCAGCGCTTGACAGCGGTTAGAAATTCATTACTAGGTCTTGGAGTACCTGCCTTGTGTCTGGATTGCGACACGCAATCTCGATGGAGGTTACAGTTTGCTCTGAAGCAAATGACGGTGTTGTAACGCTGTACCCGCAATCGACCGGTTGATTCACGCCTGCTGGTAAATCTGCGCCCTTACACCTGCTCTGCTTGACGCCTTGGCAAACCCGACAGGAAGGAAGCCAGAAGAAGATTCAGCCGACCAGAGTTGTATTAGGACCTAGAACGCTCATATTTACAGGTCAGTTTCGCCAATCCTCTAAACATCGCCTGGCGGATTTGGCTACCTGTCTTTCTCATACGCCCACGCTCCACACTTGACTGTCCGCTCCGTCTGGCCAGCTCACCGCCTTGCTCGGGCACGCTAGTCTTCATCCGCCTACCCTGGGCATGGCAACCTACCTGATGTCTGAAGCGCGATTTCATCAGCTTTCGGTCAGACCTTGGCAACACGCATGATGTCCGATGCGCCATTTCATCAGCTTTCGGCTGGGCCCTGACAACACGCTCGCGGGGTCTGTCTCAAGCACGCGTTGGCAATCAGGTTTCTCGCCCACCTGTCAGACGGCTTTCATCAACCACTGTGTTGGGCTCCGCCCTTAGCTCAACTTATCTCTACATGACGAGTCCAAATCAGGATGAAACCGCTCGGTCATGAAGCGCACTGTTTGCAGAGAGCAGCTCCGAAACTACCTACTTCTGATGCAATCCCAGTGAATGAAATGGAAGAGATCTGCTTCAAAGCAAACTTTGGCCTCAATGAAGATTGCCTATCGCAATCGATACACACAGCGGGTACCCAAGACCCAGTAATGAACATTCTGACTTTTGTGGAGGTATTTCATTGACGCAATAGAGGGAAATCCTTCACTGTCACTATGGCTCGCCGAACAACCTCCTCGTGGTGCCAGCTGGGTGCTTCGGGATTTTCCCGTTCCAGCAAATGCTTCGGCGGCAGTGTTCCAGGACGTGGTGGGTTTTCGCCTGGCAAGCGTTCTCCCTATAAAAGCCACGTATGTCCGTTTAACAACACTGTGACGTGGCGGACGTTACTCGCCACTAAATAAAGTCACTGCCCCTTGCTTCATCCTGGCGAAGCATTGTATTCTAGCAACTTTGTGCTGTAATTCTGGGGAGCATTGGGCCCCTGTTTGACAAAAGAACAAACGAAAGGCGTATGAACTGAGCAATCAGTCACCGGCTCGCAATGGGCGCGATTCCCTGAATTCGCTCCGCTGCCTTGTTGGCAAGCTATTCAGCCAAAGGTTCGGGGTGGTGTCCCCTAAGTCAACACCCTACTTCGGCTTGGGCAACCGGGTAGTATCTCGCCTTCTGACGAAATCATGGACATTGTTGTGTTGTGTTGTGTTTTCTCTTACTATTTCTGTACCTTCTTTTGAATCCCGTGGTTTCTGATGGCTCTATGTCTATTCCTAGACCGTTGCATATATATATATATATATATATATATATATATCACTATGGAGCTTAGAGCACATAGTGAGGAGCTGTTTGTACTGATCTCCTCTATGCAACGAAAAAGGACACCCTTACGCTTTGATGCATTATAGCTTGCAGCCTGATTAGGCAAGCACTGGTCCTGTGATTGATACCCGGAACGATGTCAGCTGTGTACTTTAGTAGAGTCAGTTCCTCAGGGGCTAGTATTGAGCCGATGTAAGTAGAAAAATAATTGGCGACAGAACTCCATGAAGAACACCAGAGTTGATGGTAGGGGATGGAGCATCAACCACCAAGTCGGATAATCTGAGTGCATGTAGCGAAATAACCACTCGACAAGTGGGC